AAACATCACTCTCACTTCTCACTTCTCACACATAGGTTCTCTCTCTTTCTTTTTTGTCTCTCTCAACTTCTCATGTCACACGCAGTCTCCTCTTACTCAAAAGACAAAGCTGTGCTACTCCAGTAAAAAAAGATGTTTACTGCCCCACTGTTCCCCTCACGGGTTGGCTACAACATGCGTTACACAAGTGTCAGAGAAAAGGAATCGGTCCCACACAGCTGCATGGATTACTGTTCATATAATCTGCAAAGTGCATGGCAGTGGTTCGAATCCCTCCTGACACTGCAAAAGGCCCGCTGCTCGCTAGGCCACAACACAAATCTTAAAATCGCTGAACGGATAAGATCAGGGGTTGCCGGGACTCCCGGATGTTATCCCACCTTTTCGTTTTTTAATAACAACAGAACTTGTGTTTTTTACGCCGATAACTGTCACACATGCGGCATAATGGACAACCTATCACACGACATGGCCGGTCATATCTAGGAGACCGCCCACACGAACCAACCCATGGTTGAATGATTAGAGGGACAGTGGTATCCCTATCCCATCAGGGTTCAATTCCTGGTGCTCGCGTTATTCTTAAATTCATTTCAGGATTTCCAGTGACGCGTTTTCAGTGGGAGGAGACGTTCCCGTCGACGACGAGGCGCCTAGGTGACTTCGTAAATCTCGAGATGATATGCCGGCTCAGTCTCTCGAAAATGCTGATAGGCGTAGGCTATGCGTGTGAGCATTCATAGCGGTGAGTGTATGCGTGTATGTATGAGCGCTTGTATTTGTCCTGTGTGTTCAGGAGACAGTCCACACGACCCTGTGTGAGCAAACTTTAAAACTGGCCACACGTTTGGGCGCAGCTACGATGGCCCACACGACTCTGTGTGGCAATTGCTCACCCCGACCCCGTGAGCGTGAACGGGTGTGTAATCAACTTTAGTTCCCATGTAACTATAGTTCCCATGTGACACTAGTTGCCATGTCTGCCATGTATTATTAAATATAGTTGCCATTTGTAACTAATTGAAGTTGCCACGTGTGATCAAGCAATAGTTGCCATATATGATTAACCATAGTTGCTGCGTGTGATTAACTAATTGCCACATATGCACAATGTGTAACTAATGGGAGTTGTCACGTGTGATTAAACCATAGTTGTCATGTATGGTCAACCATAGCTGCCGTATGTGATTAACTAGTTGCCGCATATGCACACCTGTAGTTGCCATCTATTATCATGTGAGCGTTGTGTGGGTGAAGAGCAGTTTCGCCCACACGTTCAGGCGAGCGTCGTGTGTCCGTTCAGGCGAGGAGCGCCCACACGTGTGGCACTAAATGATAATGCCCACACGATGCTGAGTGCTTACGTGGCTCTCGACCCAGATGACAACTGCTTCAATATTTATGCAAATGATCGAACGGTATCGACTATGTTTGGGCCATGCTGAATTGTTCTACACATATGGGCGTTATCATTTAAGATATTTTTTGGGCACGAAGGGCATAGGATTGGACTTCCCTGCTCTTCCATGAAAAATGTACTGTGGTGTACTGATAAAGCACTAGGCTTTTTCCCTCAACAAGAAAGAGAAAAATATAGTTTTCCAACGAATACACCCAACTTCAAAATAGGATATTAGCTATCTCCAACGCGGACCCCAAAACGAACAATGTATTTGCCTTCCGATTGTTTCGGGGTAGTCCGTAGACAGTAATGTAAGAGCCAGCCATCCAACTCTGTCTTCTAAATTTTTGCCTCTTTTTTTCTTAAGCCTGTGAGCTCAAAATGATAGAATATCGAATCATCAATGATTGAAAATATTCAAATGCCACAGTAGTTCTGATTTAAATATAACAATCCAACTAAGTTTTAAAATAAAATACTTCAGGGTCCGTGCCATATGCAGTCGTGCAGTTCTGATAGGCAGAGAATAATCCAATCCTTCCTGGGCAGAGAATCCAATCCTTCCTGCGGTATACTTCTACAAGATGAGATAGTCATAGTAGGGCCGGACGTTGTTGTAGAGGTGGTCGGAGACATTTTGTCACATCCAAACATGCCATAAAAAATTGTCTTTGAATGCATCGAGGATAAAGTAGTCATCCATCAACGTCAAATGCCGCCGTGCTCTCGTCCGGTTCAGCACTCAATGACCCTTGATGGATCCTTCGAATCGGAGAACTGCAAGGAGACACCTACATCATCGCCGTTTCATGTGCATAATTCTCCTCGTCCGATGACTCAATGTAGTACTCGTATGTGTACTTCATCTACCTGCCCATTGATTCAAAGAAGGGACAAAAAAATGGCATGAGCATTTCACCAAACAGTACAAACCGAATGCATGTTAAGTCTGTTTCCTTTTTTTAGGAGCGACATAGGGAAATTAACATGCAGCTATACGCGGATAAAATATAGCGAAGAAAATGCTGTGCATAGAGTAATTAAATTGCCCGTCATTGTACATACCAGCGACAGATTGGCTCTTCTATTTCGCTGAGCTGCAGGCACCCATTTATGTACACTCTCCTTATTTTATCAACCGCTGCTGCACCACCTATGGACTTGAGGCCTAGACAGTCGTAAATATAAAGTTCCTCCAGTACTGGAGACCTTCCTAACTGGTTATTGGGGAGGTTGATGGATTCTATGCCGTGACAACAAGCCAAATCGAGCTTCTTAAGAGAGGATGGTAATATCATTGCCCTCTGCGCATTCAACTTATGACAACCTGAAATTTTCAGAGTATGCAACCCGTCTAGCCCATCAACAGAGAGGGACATCAATTCACTACAATGGGAAACCCAAATGGTATTAACAGCAGGTAGACAATCTGGCTTCAGGAGTTCATCAAAGCTCAATAATTTGCTGCACTTCTTTATCATTAACTTAGCAAGGGATAAGAATCCTGTAACAGCACTGCTGCTGCTGCTACTACCACTAGCTTCAGAGACTATGGATGTAAGGTTGTCGCAATCTTCAATATATAGTTCCTCCAGGGCTGGAAGATTGCTTCTCCACACATGCAGGGGAATAGATGTCAACGATTCACAGTCTTTTATTTCCAAATATGTGAGGGAAGTGAGGTCAAGGAAGCAGCTCACGAAGCGATCCATGGAATAGCCCGATTTCACAAGGGTTAGCTTTCTAAGAGAAGTAGGCAAGAGCATCAAGCCTTCCCAACTGATTTTCTTACAATACTGTATGACTAACTCTTCAAGACGATTAATGTTATCTGAAGGTGATATACTGTCAAGTGACACATCTAACGGGACAAATAATGGTATGCTCTTCACTTCACACCAATGAAATTCAAGGGAACGTAGCATTGGCAGGAGGTTGGGCTGGAGCCAGCTAGGACAAGATTCACCTCTGTAATTCTCTACATGCAGATGTTGGAGATTCCAGTGAGGTAATCTTTCCATATGATTTTCCACCATCTTCACCGTGCCATGACGCAAAAAGGACCATGTTAGGCAGAGTTTGCCAGAGTGGTCCTTGTTATAAGCAAAGTTATTTGAATTGATTTTCTCTAAACTGAGGGCATCCTTGAAGCCTGGAGGAAAACTTTCAATCAAACAATTGCCACGGTCTATAACTTTGAGATGATGCAGCTGACAAAATGTTGAAGGAAATGTGCTGAAATTAGAACTTCCAAGTAAACAAAGGTGACGCATATGCTTTGAATTGCCCATGCTCTCAGGTAGCTGTCTTACTTTGGAGAGTTTACAACTAAATACGCGGATTTTCAATAGTTCCTTGAACCAACAGTCCATCATAGACTCAAAATCTTTTGCTTTGCTGTATGATTCATCGCACACCAGGGACCTCAGATTTTTCTTGTTACATATGCTCTTCAATTCAGAACACTGAACATCTCCGTTCGTGAATATTGACAGATGACGGACGTTTGAAGGAACTTTATCTAGGTCACTAGCATGCTTTATAATGAAGCACTCATTCTTCGAAACTAGTTGTGCCGTATCATGCATCAGATCATGAATTACATACTTAACACTATGTGGTGATGCTTTCTGAAAGAACTAACGATTTGCAAGGGCATCAAAGCACATTGATGCTTCTTGGGCTGACTCCACATATCCTAGTGCAATCCAAATGTCAGCTAGAAAATCCTTCGCAAATTTGTAATCCTTGGGAAACATTGCACAGATTGAGAAGCATCTCTTCAATTTCTGCGGGAGGTACATATAACTCAGTCGAAGGGCTGGCAGAATGTCGGTCTCTGTTTGTTCTAATCGCCACAGTTCACTTTCCATTATATTTCCCCAGTGTGTTGTACTTAGATCCATTCTCAGCAAGCGTCCAATAGTCTTGGCAGCCAATGGGGAACCCTTCAACTTTGGAACAATTATTTCACCAATGCGCTCCAACGACTCCCTGTTGTTGCCCAAAGTCTTGGATCCAAATGCACAGAATTTGAAGAACTCCAAGAATACCCCGTCTTTTAAGCCCTTTAACTCATAATTATTCATAGGGCCAACTATCTTAGCAACCTCAGGAGATCTAGTGGTGACCAAAATCCTACTTCCTTCAACGCCATTTTTCAAAGGCGCACAAAACCTCTTCCATTCCACCCCGTCATCCTTCAAGATATCATCCCACATGTCATCAAGGACAAGTAAGAACTTTTTGGACTTGACGCAGCCTTCTAATTTACCCATAAGAACTTCCAGACTATTAGATGAAGCATCTCCTCCCAGGCCCTCTACAATGTCTTTCGTTAACCGTTTTATGTCAAAGTCATCTGAAACACATGTCCAAATTATATTTTTGGCACCAAAGTGATTCTTCACATTTGTATCCTTGCAGATGTGTTGGGCCATAGTTGTCTTTCCAACCCCTCCCATGCCAACAATGGAAAACACATGCAACTCGGTCATTCTTGCTTTGCTTTCAGTCCTTCCTCTCTTCCGTGAATGAACTCCTAGTTTTCCCACCAACTCCTTCATTTCTTTTTCACGGCTAATCATTTTTTCCTCACAGTTAAAGTAGGAAGTTGTTTCTGGCCTAACAGATTTATCAAACTTTAGAGGTGCTTGGTGCAAGCCCATTTCCATGGACTGCTTATGGACATGATCTAGATTTTTTTGAATTCTGTTGACTTTTCTGATGTAATCATTAGATCTGACACTTTCGTAGAATTCCAGACAGGTATCACGCAATTGGTCTAGCCCCAAATTCTTGCTGCACTCAACTTTCCACTTGAGCGCATCATAATCAAGCTCGTCAAGCAGGTCCTCCGCTTCGAAGACTGCATCCTTGATATGCGGGAGGAGATCAGCCGCTTGTTTCTTATGGCTTTGGTATTCGACCCGATCAATGAGGTCAAGCATCTTGGGCATTGTTGTCTCCAGCTTCCAAAGATCATCCTTCAGCCGCTCAATTTCCTCTTCAGTCTGTTGTTGGGCAGCTGTCTTGTCTTCATCTCGCAACTCTGAAGTGTTCTGTGAAGAACGAGTGGCCGTTATAACTGATGCAGTCCAACTGAAGAATTCGCGACATGCATTGACGTTGGAAAGCACCCCAGCATATTCATTGAATATTGCCAAAGCCATGGCCATAGTTGAGCGCTGTTGAAATCATATGCTCAACATAAATCTTAGTTAGAAGAGTACGATATCGGAATAAGGTAACCATTTAGAATGGACAGACTCCGGGATGAAGATGTAACTACCTTCTATATTTGCTCAAACTTCAAAGTGGTTGGTCAGTGAGTGACGTCATGACTGAAGAAAGGCACGGATGATACGGTGCTGCTGATCTCACATGCCTTCTGCTGTAGTTCTGCAATTACATTGTCTTTGAACTAGTAAGTGTGCATGTAAACTATATGCGCAAAAGACAATGTTTTAAATAGCGGGGCTATGCCAGAAGTTGTGAAAAGCTATGACGATGCTAAACACCATTTTTCTAGGTCATCTTTGAAAAAAATAAACATATAATTAGACATCATATATGATATATCACATATACTTGGCATATGCACATTCCCAGACATTAAAAGAACACCAATCAGACATATTAATTCAACAAGCAAGCTTTGCGTCACTGCATCATATAGATTAAAAACAATAAGGAAGAATAAGGAAGATGGGCGGCCTTGTGGAATACACTTGTGTCCCTCTCTGGCTGCACTGGCTTAGCGGTGCTAAATGAGTCTAAACTAAACGCTATCACTGTAATTAGTGAGCAATTATTGTATTTTTCAACTTAGCGTCCAAGGTGCATAGCTTTAGCGAGTAGGCTATCAAAAATAATAACGATACTACAATAAAGCTATAGCCTGGTATTTGAAATTTCACCAAAAAAACAATGACAAATCGGCTATTACTCCCTCCGTCCGGGTTTATTAGGCCTAAAGACAACTTCTCTTAGATCAAGACATAAAGTAATTTGCTCACATTAATTCTCCCATTCCACTTCCAATGTACTCTCTCATATGCATGCAACCAATGAAAAAGCACGCATGAAGTGTATTAATTTTCCAGCCATGGCACCAACAACAATGGCTTTGAATGCAACCAATGAAATGGTTGCATGCATGCACCTTTCCAAAGAAGGGTCTTATAAAAGGGGACATGCTTGTGATGCTGAGAGGCCTAATAAACTCGGACGGAGGGAGTACTCCTTAATGAGGAACATGTTGACCTAGAACTTGGCGTTCGACCACTCCCAATAAACTGCCAGCCACTCCGGTGACGGGCCGATGCACGCGTCATGGGAGCCCTTACTCCACCGCCGGCGCCATGCTTCCTCTCGGCCACTCCTACTCGCCGTCACCGAAGGGCATTGGCCAAGCGAAGGCCCTGAGACGTTAGCACGGTGGGGCCTCATCCTCCCTCCCCTGGTCGAGATCTAGGTGGCACAGGTCAGGTTATAATGGGGGTTCGAGGTCCTATAGGGTCCCCAGCGGCGGGGATGCACGGATCCGACTGCTGATGGGCCTTGAGGCAGCGGGAGTGCGCGGATCCTGCTTATTATGGGCTGGGAGGCGGCTGCGCCGGCGGGGGCTGAGATGAGGTGTCCAATCTGAATACTATCTGGCCACTCGTAACGCGGGCAGCGATGCCTTGTGGTGGTTCGCGCGTGCAGCGGTGCAGTGGTGCTGGTGGCCACTTTCGGTGAGGGCTCCTCCTTTCCGGCGACGTGGGAGATGGAGCTGTTGTTGCAAGGTGCCATTCTTGGTTGCGCAGGTGGCGACACAGCAACTAGTGTGGATCTTGGACCTGGGCTACCCCGTTAGCCTGTGGTGCCGATCTGAAGACGATGTCCCTCCGCCACCTTTGGCCTTCCAGTCCATTCCAAGATGTTGGCGACGTCCGTGTGGCCGGATCATGTGGTTGTTCAGGGTGTTGGGGTTAGGGGCTCTAGATAGGTTGAAACTGTTGATCGGCGGAGGCGGCCACAATGTCGGTAATGTTCCAGTCGTCGCTCTACTTCTTGAAGGCGACATGGAGTTCTATCTCACGCCCTCCACCTCCTAGTTTATGGTGAAGGCCAAAAATCTTGTGGACTGGGCTGCGACGGTGAGAGGGGGCCACAACATCATTTTCTGCAAAAAACGCCACATTTGAATTGTAAAATGGTGGTCTGCTGGTGGCTTTTGAATGATGTTCCTGCTAGGTAGCTTACGGTGGGCTTTTTTATCTTGGCCGGAAGTTGTGGTGATGTAGGGATTTTCTTTACGAGGTGAGGTCGTCATGCCTATGGTCCTCCCACCGGAAACATGTTGCTCCAGTCTATATGGGCTTAGAGGTGAGTTGTTCTGCCTGTCAACGGCTCGATGTCCTACGATCCAGGATGAGAGGGCAGGGCGCCTTCTCTTCAGAGAAAGAGATGGATGGCGGGACAATGGTGTTGGCAAAATGAACAAAAGTGTGGCATGTTGTACATGTTAGCCAAACCGGCTTCATCGTACACTTGGTGGTTGACAAATTTTGCTAGAGGTCGCTACCTAGTATGCAAGCTGGATGAGATTTAGCGTGCAACCAAGTGGACGTGAAATTAAGGGGGCGCGCATTGGATGGAAGGTACTACGAGATCGGATACGACTTACAGGTCGGATTTGATCCGACATGAACATGGATCTGGGTCGGGTGGACTGTGGGCTGAAGAGTCCTAGTGGGCCTCTTGTGTTGAGCCCACGATGGACAACTATACAAGTGGGGGTACAACTACCCATTTTGTTGATCGCCCATGCACGCATCATTGCACGTAAATCCGAAACTAAAACCAATTAAAAAGGCTCCTAAGGGGTCACGTGCTACTTCGACTCTCATCTGTTGCGAGAACTACAAGGACTACAAATTTGACATGATCAGAATACAAATTGATTCGTGATTTTTGAAATTGTGGCTACATGTCCTAGCGTCGTAGATTTCGTAAGTTTGCTCAAACCAATAGAGCGTGATATGCATAACCCGGTTTTGTAGCTTTGACGTGAATAGTATGTCTCACGTGCATGTCATGCATGTGTATAATTTACATGACCTCTGAGTCATGGTTTCGTGTGTCAGCTAGAGCCAATGTATCATTATAATGTATAATGACCTTCTTGTCAGCCTATGATGTTCTGTAAATTCATTACTAGCTGTAATATTTTGGGGGTAGAGCTCAACTTTGCTGCTTGGATACAGATGGAGCTCGGCGTCCAAACGTTACAAAACAAATGAAGATCCGACCAGGAATTCCAACCTGGACATTGAAGTTAAAACCGACTTGAAAGGAACTTCATGAAGGAGCCATACTATTTCAAATTGTAATTTATATTGCTTCTATTTCTATGCATGTTAAATGGTACAAAGAGCCCTCATTTAATATCTAGCTAATTTGTCATCCTGGAAGTTACAGCTTCACATGTCAAGTATATCTAGTAGTAGGCCCATGAAATTGGTGTGCCGCTAGGTACCCTGGACTAAAGAGTTAATGTCGGACACATACATCTCGCCTCGGCCCACTCCTACATGTGCAGCTTGGATCATCCGACACGGCGCACTCCCCTGAACATCGTTGTGCTGAACGCTAGGAACGGTGTCCGGTAGAATCAGTAGTCATTCACCGATGCTGCCTCGGTTTCGTTGGATGACTCCCGCACGAGGTAGAAGGGGAAGAGGGAGAAGGACCTGATCAGTGGGACCCAAACTTCCTTGGCCCACCCGTCATCCAGAAGACTAGTTTGCCCAGGCCCGTTGTAGGTTTAAGTGGACACGCATTCACTGGACCATGCCTTCCTTCGCGAAAAGGGTATTCCGGTTCAAGACACCGTCCACTTAGCAACGACCCGGCTCAGTTTGGCCTACTCCGGAGGAAATCAGCCAAAATGGCCCAAAGTTCATAGCTCACTTTCCTTTTTATCGGTTGATTTTCTATAGTGGACCCATATGTAATTATTTTAATTATAGATTAGCTCCCCACAGTAAAACCTCTATAACTTGTTATCCATAAGTGTGATCCAGGTGATTCCAAAGACCACGTTCTCCATTTGAATATATTGTTCCCATGTTGTCACTTTCATGATGTTTGGACATACAAAAAAAGTAGCATTTTGTCATTCTACTTCAGATAGGCTTTTCAGAGAAGTCACTTTTCGCTGACCCTTTCCGGGGGACGATCGCAACTGTTTCCAAAGAAGCTTAGAGCTCAATGCAAGACACAACCTCCATTGATTGCCGACTTGATGAAGCAATGGTTTACATATGTTAATTTTGTGTATTGCTACGTGAGTATTTAAGGCCATCATCATTGCTTTATTGTGCCAGGTAGATCCTCATATGCTCGGTTATGTAGTGTTCATACATTGCTTAGGCAATAGCATACTTGTTTGATCACATTAATGAACCTAATTAAAATGGCCACATAAACATGTATGGTGATATGAATATTGTTTCTATATTAATTGCTAGCTCGACTTGATTTTGCGAACAATATTTGAACATGACTTGAATTAGTAGACTTGTAACAAGAATGAAGTTGATAAAATGAACTTGGTTAATAAATCCTTCATTGGCTTGGCCGAATCAAGCTCACAAGTGCGACCACATTTGCCTTTGTGGGAAGTCCCTGACTACGTGCATTCAGACGCCTCTTATTTGTGTCACCATAACAAGGAAAGGCTGAGACGGGTGCGCTACCTTGGATCGGTAGGTAGCATCTAACCCTGAGAAACTGGGTGTGTATGATTGAGCTCTGATAAATGATTGGTCCCCTGGAGGTATAGTTTTGACCACAATGGTGGTAGTGTTAGAGTTGGCAGTGTCATGGGGACAAAGGGGGGCAGAGTCTCTCATCCATGGCATCATCCCGTGGGGTATGTCGGTGACAAGGTAAGAGAAACTTATGGTAGACGGTCTTGTTGGACCAGAACTAGTCCACACAAGAGGGAAAAGTGTACCGAGGTACATGGTGAAGAGCTGCATAGTGTAGGTATGTGCACAACCTCTGTAGAGTGTATAAATGCATTCGAATAGCCGAGTCCATGTTATTTGGCACAATTCATACTATGTGACATCTGTGGTCAATGCTGCTAATGACGAACTAATAACTCAAGTGTGATCAACAGGTG